TATATATATATATATATATATATATATATATATATATATATATATATATATATATATATATATATATATAATGATATTTAAACTGTTCAAATAGCGGAGTCTGAACCCATGATTGATTTCACACACCCAAACACCCCCTCCCGATACACGAATATAACACAACTAAACGTCCCTTTACTGAATAAAACCGAAAATTCAACATAAACCCGATACGGACAGGAAAGACTCTTTTCTAATGAAACGAACTCAAGGTAAACAGTACAAGCGGCTTCTGTGCAGTATGTCCACTGGTCAGTATTTCCGGGTTTATGCGGTTCAGTAGGCGGCCTCACCTTCTCCGCCGGGCGGCGGTAGCGCTTCTGTTGGAACAAGCAGTGGCTCTTCACGAACCCGTTTCCGCATGTTTTCTTGTCTTGGCTGGCATCTCTATTCAGTAGCTTACTAGCTGAGTTTTGTGTCATGGCAGGCCGCCGATGTACGCTAGTTCTCCGGCTTCCCTTGTGTAATCTCACTGGAGTTCCCTTCTCCTCCCAAACCGTCGAATGACAAAGCCACACCCACTCGTAGATTACAGGAAAAACCTCGCCCACTACAACCAATGAAGTTAAGGAACGTCTTGTGGGCCTGGTTTTAATAATAAATATTTATTAGCTCAATGACGTCATTAACCTATAGTAACCGCTTGGGCACGTGCTATGAGACGAGGGACGTGAGGCAACGCCACGATCTCTCTTTACGTCACACAATAGCCCACGCTTGATAAGAGTAATGGAAAGTCTGACCTCAAATATCTAACTGTAAGCATTTGCTCCATTCAAAACCTTTTTCTGGGATCTGATTTGTGGGAAATATCGAACTTATATTATTTACTCTTAACAATAATGAAATAAAAGGAGATGAGAGGTACAAAGTAATAGGGTGAATTCGGGTAATCTGGGACACTTTTTGCAATTTTGACTTCGGCTCTCTATTTTAATGTCTGTCTAACTAATTAGAACCACATATGAGACTTTTCTAAAATACCTAAGATGTTTTCTAACCACCAAAGAAAACATAATATAGATATTATTCTGAGAAGAGCCATGCCACACCTATTAGTATTTATTTGTCAAAAACTAAAATTCAGCCTGAATTTGATAATCTGGGACAGCTCACTTCGTATTCTGGGACATTATGTATTTGGGCTGAAAAAGTATATATTTGCCATATTTATGCATGCCAAACTCAATTTTACCAATTTTAAAAAAGTGTGTGTGTGTGTGTGTGTGTGTGTGTGTGTGTGTGTGTGTGTGTGTGTGTGTGAGAAAGACTGTGTTTAAGGGTGTGTGTATGGGTTTGTGTGTGTGAGTGTGAGAAAGACTGTGTTTAAGGGTGTGTGTATGGGTTTGCGTGTGTGTGTGTGTGTGTGTGTGTGTGTTTGTGTGAGAAAGACTGTGTTTAAGGGTGTGTGTATGGGTTTGTGTGTGTGTTTGAGAGAGAAAGACTTTGTGTGCGTGTGAGAGACTGTGTGTAAGGGTGTGTGTATGGGTTTGTGTGTGTGTGTGTGTGTGTGTGTGAGAAATTGTAGTAATTGTAGTGTGTTGAGTGGGAAATGGGACTCACATATTAGGAATGTATGTATTTTGTGTTGGCCACTCCTTGTAAAAGTTACTTTTTGGTTGGCCATTTGTTTCTAATGAGTCTCCTGTTTTCGTTACTGCTGACTAGTTTTGTAAACAAAAAGAAAGAAGAAATGCCCGCATGCGTTTAGCATTTTTACTTATCACAAGCATAATAGTAATTTGGTAGTGTGTGTGCTGCTTTAGCTTTTTTCAGGGTTATTTATTGTGAAATCTCGATTGCAACAGAAATACTGGGAAATCTCTGTAGACTGATGGCATTTCATGCCGATCAGCCTTGTAAACCTAAAATGTCATCAAAATCACCTTGTTTTGTCATCACTTTAGACATTATGCTAGAGAATCATTCAAATATAGCTCTTAAGTGACGTTGGTGAATTAGCAACGGTTTCTGCTGTTCTGTCAGCTGCAGATGTGAATGAATGGCGGAAGAAAGTAGTTCCTCATACAAAAGGGTTTTTAGCCTCTCCATGTTTGATTTTCTTTTTGATACACATGATTAGGCTGTAGAACTGTTGTATAAACGCAATATCACACTCATAGCGGTGCGATATGGCTGTATATAATCACTGGTGGGGCACTAACGCACGCTTATAGGTAGCTTAAAAAAGGTTAAAAGGGCAAAAAATGTTGACTATTAAAAGATTTACAAAAAATTAAAAACTGCTTTCCTTCTACGCAAAATAAAACAAATAAGACTTTCTCCAGAAGAAAAAAAAAATGATCAGACAAAATATGAACATTTCCTTAATCTGTTAAACATCCTTTGGGAAATATTGAAAAAAGAAAAACAAAATCAAAGGGGGGCTAATAGTTTTGACTTCAACCGTACATTAGATCCAAACGCCAATACTGGAACTAATCAAATTAACAAAAATAATTTAACGTCACAGTACAGAAATAAGTACACCATAATGAATATGTTATAGAAGAATATTAAATACAATTTCAATAAAAAGGAAAGCAATATTGTATTTAGTTTAAGTATTATAAATTTTGAAGCATTATAAAATATTATATTTAAGTTCTGTAGTGGTGTCTATTTTTTCTAGCAACACCTCGTGTGAATTTAAATGTATTATCTCCCTATTGCTAAAGATGTTAAGTGACAGTAAATGTATGGTTGATTAATGTTTCCCTTGTCTACTACTTATTCTTGAGTGAGTCATAGCATAACAGTTGAGACATACTGTAGCACATTTGTCATGGTGCTATCAAACAGTCAGCATTCTTATGACATCATTTCCTGACTCAGGTGGCATGGCTCTTAAACTATGTCCTGAATTGATAGGCACAATTCAAATCATATACTCATTTAATTACAATCTGATAATCCAGAGGGCGAGGCAGTGGCGCAGTAGGTAGTGCTGTCACCTCACAGCAAGAAGGTCACTGGGTCGCTGGTTCGAACCTCGGCTCAATTGGCGTTTCTGTGTGGAGTTTGCATGTTCTCCCTGCCTTCGTGTGGGTTTCCTCCGGGTTCTCAGGTTTCCCCCACAGCCCAAAGACATGTGGTACAGGTGAATTGGGTAGGCTAAATTGTCCATAGTGTGTGTGTGGATGTTTCCCAGAGATGGGTTGCGGCTGGAAGGGCATCCGCTGCATAAAAACTTGCTGGATAAGTTGGGGGTTCATTCCGCTGTGGCGACCCCGGATTAATAAAGGGACTAAGCCGACAATAAAATGAATGAATGAATGATAATCCAGATTATAGCTTTTACAAAAAATGTGTGTAGCATAGAAAACCTCTGATGTAGATTTGATTTTCATTTAATTAATATTCATATTTCCTCTCATTGCCAATGTATTAGATATGATTCCATGAAAGCTTTTAAAATAAGAGACCCACATTGATGAACTTCATATCATTAAAGAATACTGTCAAATATGTCTGTGTAGCTCCCAAAATAACAAGCCATTACACTTCCAATGAATTCCAAGGTCAAGTTTGTGTAAGCATGTCAGAAGGTAATGCTGAGTAGGATTTGCTTCCAGTTACATAATCGCTAACCCAGTTTATGAACATGGTGACTTGACCCAGGGGCGCCTCCAAGGGGTGGCCAGGGGTGGCCACGGCCACCCCTCGGTAAACTCTGGCCACCCTTGTGGCCACCCCTTTGGCCACCCCAATATAATTTTGCGGTTGACATTATTGATTTAAATGAACTCATAAATTCCCAATATTTAGATAAATAAATAAATAAAATGCAGTCACTTAATTATTGTTGGTGTTACTGACGTAGCTCTCCCCCTCTGGTTCAATGCTGGTGAAAGCAAACTGACGCATGCGCGCGGAAAACCATTCCCGCGCGCCTCACGCACTCCTGTGTGAATCCCGGTTGGTTGTTTGCATGCACGCCGACATAATAGGCACCGCTCATGCGCCGTGAAACCGGAGTAACAGCCTTTTGTGCAGAGGTGTCGGCACGCAGCGAGTTTTGAAAGTCGTTTAAAGTTTATATAATATGATGATGATGATGATGATGATGATGTTACTTTCACTAAGCATGCCTTTAAAGCAGAAAGGAGGGATAATGAGTCAGGGAGG